GCATGTTGGCAAGTCTGTCCTGACCCTCAGCTGGACCTGGGTGCTGCAGGTGGTGAAGATGGGGGCTGGGGTGGGAAGTGGAAATGAGGACTTTAGACTCTGGCAGAGATGCAGAGGAGGGGAGGGAGCCCCACCTCCCTGGATGGCTGAGGTTGTGCCTTTTCCAGGCGGCCTGACCTTACGCACTGCAGGCCCAGGGGAGGGGCACATAGGTGCCTCAGTTTCCCTGACATGCTGTCTGCTGCCTGGGTAGGACCCGGGGGTCCCAGCGGGGTGGGGCTCAGCTCCCTGGACCAGGGTCCTGCCCTGCAGGGAGGAAGCTGCCCAGGGGGTCCCCGGCTGCCCTGGGGAGCCAGCCTGGGGCTGCTGAGAGCTGTCTCCTGGTTTCCGCCTGACATTGGCTTCTGGGAGCTTAAGTTGGGACTTTGAACTCCTGTAGCTGTGCCCGCACAGCAGGTGGCCTGCTGGCCACCCTGCCGGCCCCTCTCCCGTCAGTGTCTTCCCTGGGTCACAGGGTCTCTCTGCACCCCACTTGGGCATGAGCCCACGCTCTCCTTGTAGTCTGTGCGCCCAGCCCCTAAAGGTCAGGTGTAGGGCAGGGCCAGCCTGTGTGGCCCACCGTGGGCCCCTGGGCTGACCTGCTGCTGACCCGAGCCACTCCCACCTGAAGTCTTAAGAGAACAAGGATGGGCCCCGCCTTGGCCAGAGGGCTGGGGCTGGGGCTGTGGGAGTTCGGCCCTCCAGGGACCTCACCTGTCTCTCCCTGCCCCTGGCGGCCACAGAGGCTCCGCGGGGGTGGGGGGACAGGCTGACGCTTTGGGAAGAGCGGCCCTGAGCCAGGAGCATAGAGCCCGAAGCTTCGCCTGGTCCCCAGAGGGTCAGTTCGTGCTGGCAGGAGCAGGGATCCTCTCCCCCAGCCTCCCCACAGGGGCTCTGACCTTGAGTGGCGTTAGGCGACCTTGGCCAGCAGAATCACAGCCAGCAGCAGTCCTGTCAGCGTCACCAAGGGCAGCCGCGCCGATGCTGCTGTGAAGGGGGGGCTGCGGTCAGTCAGCCCTGGGTGGCAGCAGCGCCCCGGCCACCTCCTGAGCCCCTGGCTCCATCTCTCGCTGCCCCCACATCCCCGGTCCGTGGCCCAGCGCCCCCCACGCATCCCCCAGCTCTTCCCCGGGCCTCCACCCACCCGGCCGTCCTGTTGTTCCTTCCCTGGTGACCTCCATCCCTGAGATGGTGTCACAGGGCACCCCCAAGGGGGCGAGGGGTGAGGGGAGGGTGTGGGGGGGACTCCGGGAACATGTGGAAGTGGGGGCCTGGACCCCGAAGGACTGCCCCCCGCAGTGGCTCCCAGCCCAAGCGTGCACAGGGCTGCTGACCCCTCCCCCTGCGCTGTGTGTGGGCCCCTCAGGGGTTTGAGAGGACGTGGGGGGCGGCCCACGCGGCTGGGGGGCCCCGTGACCCAGCGGATGCGCACCGCTGCCGCTGGTGGTCGTCCCCGGCACGGTCGTCCCCGGTACGGTCGTCCCCGGCACGGTCGTCCCCGGTACGGTCGTCCCCGGCACGGTCGTCCCCGGTACGGTCGTCCCCGGCACGGTCGTCCCCGGCACGGTCGTCCCCGGCACGGTGGGCACCGGCACAGTGGGCACCGGCTGGGGGTCGCGCAGTATGGGCAGCAGGGTGCTGAGCTTCCCGTCGTTGGCCTCGGGCACGATGCCCAGCAGCTTGCACATGAGCTCGTACACGTGGATGCTCTCAAAGGGCTCCACCTGCAGCCCCTTCTTGAAGCTGGGGCCCACGGCCCGGAAGATGGTCTTCATGTCCATGAGGTCGTTCCGGAAGCCGTGCTCCCCCTTGTTGGTCTGCACGTTCAGCCTCTGCGGGGACGGGGCCTCGCTGGCACCACAGCCCGCCCGCCGGAGGACCCGGCGGGACGCCGGGCAGGCCCAAGGGCTCCGAGGCTCTGTCTCCCCGAGTCCGGGGCCACAAGGCCAGCGGCCCCGAGAGGGTGAGCCTTGGGGGAACAGCCGGCGAGGGGAGACCCCGGG